ACTATATCTCATAGGGAACCCAAGAACACCATGGAGAAAAAGTTAACAACAAGTTCAATGTCATATCGGGTACACAAGAGCCTTGCTAAAATGATTTTTCTCTGGAAGATGTTTGATGTTTTGAAGATTAAATGATAATTTGCGTGATTTAACAGAGTTTTAGAAGCCATAACATTATATAGTGAACAAAGACGAAACAGAAAGAGGAAGCAAGCACTCACCATCTTATATTCTAAGGCTTGAAGTATCATCTCCACCTTTAAAGAGCAAATATTAATATAATCAGATTAACTAATTTGCAAATATTAACAGCCAAATAGAAATGTAGGTCATGCTAAAATATTCCATTATCATGACCAAATGAAGTTCTCGACAAAACTTTGAAAAACTCAATATTATTTGCACGACTGTTTTTTGTTCTTTTTGTTGGCATAAGCTTTGCTGGTGGCAACCTGAAAATGCAATGTAGCCCAATTGCACCTTCTGAACCCCTTGGGGGAAACAAGCAAACAGAATAAAGTAACAGATTTGAAGCATGATCACCACGTTCTAAATATTTAAATCTTCCCACCACTGTTCTCTCCATCATATAAGCAGATAGCTTTTATAACTCAAAGAGAACTGTTTTATCTGGACACCATCTATGAAAAATGTTCCAACTTTCAACAGAAAGTAAGAGAACATCACAACAACGTTCATTGACAAATTCATCAAATAAGTTCTCAAAGCACAAACCTTGTCAAGATCCTTGACAAATTTAGCTTCTGGTGAAGAATTTGCTTCATACCATCCATAACTCAGCTACTTCCGATGCTTCATTAAGCCAGTTGGAAGATACATCAAGAGGGAGTTTACTTAATCCAATCATTGACAAACTATTTTTGTAGTGACATGGAAGTACCTCTAGATCCTCCACCTAGCATTTTACACATATGATCAAGTGCTTCTCGTTCTCGTCTACTCTTTTCTTCTTTTGAAACACCATCTGATGGCGTAATATCCCCAACAATAGCTATGAAAAATATGAAAAAAGAAAGAGCATCAACTATTAGCTCAGAAAGAAAGTATCGGGCAGAAATGCAAATGGTATTATAAGCTCAAAGATTAGCCTGCAGTAATTTCAGATACTCGAAATTGCAGAAATAATGTGTCCTTCTATCATTATTAAATTTGAGGTACCCGAAACAACGCAGAAAACTATTTGTCTTTCTATCATTATTAAATATGGTTTCAGAAGATTGGTAGGGCTAAAAACATGCACGATTAAGCAAGCATGCAGCAAATCAACGGCTTCAAAAAATGGATCCAATTCTTTCAAGTAGATTTAAAGGATTTCCTCTCAGACAGTAGAATGTGCCAGTTACAAAAGGCCCGTGCCTGAGTGGGTTTTTTTGGGGCAATTAACAGAACAAAATTCTCTCGTTTTCCATGGTTCATTCGCAACACAGTATTATTTTTCGTATGAGCCACATATAATCAACCCCGATTTGTCTAAGCATTTACTCATTCTCCACCTTGCGTTCGTTACTTCCATCCAAAGTCATCCATACTCGGCCACTTTAAAAAAACGATTTTACCAGATATGCGGAAGTTATAGGCAATCAAAGGCAAAGCATCATACCTTCAGCAATATCGTGAACAATAGCCATTTTTATACACCTGGAAATAACAGACAACTAGGTTTCAGAATTTTTACTCATTCGAACTTTAATACGTGCCCACATGAAAAAATAATAGAACAATCCACATGCTAATGTAAATGTAATCAAGCATTACAGCTGAGGAAGAGGAGGGGAAATTCACTTGTTTCGGTCTATGCCAGGGATATCTGAAGCAATCAGAGCCATCAAACCCATTCGATACATATGATCCGCTATTGATTCTGGATCCTTAACATCTTTACGTATCCATCCTGCTCTTTTTGTTGTCTAATTCCGACACAGAATTCAAGTAGTTACGACGATAATAGACAACAAACGAAACGCAGACAATAATTGTGAAACGAAGTCAGGAAGGTTAAGCCTGCATTTATCTAAAGGCATAAATCAAACCGACAAATTTAATGATTATCAAAACACCTACTCTATGTTTCAATCTTCACGGCACCTTGAAATTCAGAAAAATATGCTTAATCGAAGTACTAATAGAATGAATTAGAACAAATAATTTGGAAACTGACATCAGAATAAAAGACAGAAAGACAGAAGTATAGCATTTCACATTCGCATCCATTTAGGCTATAGAGAAAACTCCGAAACAGAGATTTTCCTACTGGATAACTAAACCGAGAACTAACTAAACAAGCAACACCAAAGAACCTAAAGGAGAAGCACCTTTAGGCGGTGACATAAAGAGAGGAAATCAATGGCAGAGGAAGCAGAAGAAGCTGCGTCGTCGACCGGCGAAGAAGAAGCATTGACATTGCCCGAAGTGGTGTTAACCGAGGACGGGGAGGATGAAGCTGCGGCGGCCATTCGGCGATAAAGCCTAGAAGCAGCGGGAGACCAGGCGCGAGCTGCAACGAATTTGGATCTAAGTTGAGTGCAAGAAAGACAGGAAGGTATGGTGAAGATGAGCGAAGAAACTGATTTACACAACAAAACTCGGTTTCCACTGCTCATTTTATCTCGCCCTCTGTGTGTCTCTCTCTCTCTCTCTCTCTCTTCTAATTAATTCCTTTGGATTCACTTTTCTCCAGACTTTTGGCACTTTTCTTCACATTCGGCGCGTCCACCACGACCGCAAAAATGAGAGAATTAGAGAAACGAGAGAAGCATGGAAGAGACTAGGATTTGGTGTGTGCTAGTGCACGAAGGGGATGTTGCTGGGGGTATTTACGAACGATCATCTAGGAGCCCTCCAAGATGCTGCTTGAGTGACCCTGCAACGAGCCAGACTGACTTATATTTTTGAGCCGCTCATAGCTCCGCCTCCGGCCCACCAGAAAATTTGGGATTCGGAAAATACAGGAACTCCATGTTCCTGTATATAGCATCGGCAGGATAATAGGATCCCACTTGGATGTCAATGTTAAGGCCAACGTTTCCCCAACATTACCCTGCATTTAACCGGCTGACACATAAGTTTTCTTAAAAAATAAAATAAATAATTAATTAATACTACATAATTTATTTGTGTCAAGACTTAATGACATAAAACTCCCCACATTACGAGTTGAATACAAATTATGATTTAATACTCCTTCAGCCTTAAATGTAATACTTAGTTTGTAATATAATTTTGTATTATAAAATGAGTCTTTCATTTAGGGTCAGAGGAATACTTCATTTGATTCTTAAATAAAACTAATTGATTAATTTGGGGAGATTAAAAAACTAAAAATTGATTCAAAGTATTTACATTTATTATTTTTATCCAAACTAATTTGCCTAACTTATAAACTAATATATACTCTTTAGTCTTATTTATAAATCATTTCTAACATGTTTTACATAGACTAAGAAAAACATTAAAACTTTGTTAACTCTTATTTAAAATTCAATAACTTTTTAACTTTATCCTGTTTAATATATATTATATCTCATTTAAACAAAATTAACACAATAATAAATTATGAGTAAAATTGTACATATATTAAAAAAATTTTCTAAATGCATTATAAATAGAACCAGAGAAGTAATCTAATGATACACATAATTATTTCAGAAAGGTCATGCAAAATATGCTACAATTAAGTAATTTTTTTAACTTTGTTAGTATCTTCAAATTAATTAACTGAGTCAATATATTTAAAAACCCGAGACAGCAGTAGATTGCTGAATATACTAACGGGTTCGGAATAAAGATAAACTCTCTCAATATAACATTTATATGAACAAAACTTAAAATTGTTTTATAATGGGTTGGATGAGATGATGTCGCCCACCTCGCTGAAGCCAGAGCAGCCCGTGAGAAGTTAGCCTACAAGCTAGCTGGCCTATATTTCAAATTGGACTGCTTTTGGGGCAAGGAAGGTGAGCCTTGACTTGTTTTTTCTAAGCATTAGCACCGATCTTTCGCCTGAGTCCAATAAGCCCAATAAGTGGGGGGAAATATTACAAGGCAATGTTTAAGCACATTGAGGAACTGAGGTTAACAATAATTAAAGGACGACCATCTTAATGGCGTGGAATAACATGGTAATTTAAGCTAATTATAAACCCATAAACGAAAACACCATCCTAATCAATGTCAAAACGACCAGCTATGATCTCTGGCGAAGAATAATATCATTGCTACATGTTTCTGACCAAGTCATTGTGGTAATTTGGCTCTGCTCCTTCCAGTTCAAGGAGGCATTCTGGACTTACAACCTAAGACTCTTCATAAAAATGTTCTCCAAATCTCTTCCACACAGTGATCACTTATTTTTTGAGCAGCATATTGAAGAGAAATCGCCAGGTTATGGTCGTCGAGGCTGGCCATGGTGTCCCCTTCCGGCGCAATGGCCGGAGGGCTTTCTTCTGCTAAGGCTCTTCCACCGTCTGCCTGTGAAACTATGGAGGCTAACGCCACCGTCAGAAGCCAAAACCACCATGGCTGCCCGAAGGGTTTTCATGTTTTGAGGATTCAGGTGTTTGATCATGCACTGCTAGCTGTAAGGGATTTATAAGGGGAAAGGTTTGAGCAGTTATTGTATAGTTTTAACGTTTTGAGACGTTTGATCTAATTAGTTCCTGTAGATTAACGTTTCTTGCAGTTTTATTAGTCTAGGAAATCAAACCTGACTGATATATTTGATGTATTGAATGTATATAACATCCATTAAAAATAACTATATCCAGGACTAAATAAAACCCGTTATCCTTTAAAAAAATGAATATTTGCGAAAATTGTTTCACATATGTATTATATTATAGGAGCACTATATAAAATAAAATTATTGTGGTAAAAAAAATATAAAAATTTATTATTGATATATAAATCAATTTTAATTTGCTTATTTGCATCTATGTTTATAATAGAATTAATGTCTAAACTCTAAATGTACACAAGTGAAGCATCCCTATTTCAAACCATGTCAGTTAAAAATTTAAAAATATTAAATAGACATAAATTAAATTAAAACATTGAAAATTTTATCAGGTATCAACTTCAGTCAAAAGATTTTTAAATTAAAAAAAAAAGAACATTTCAATCAAATAAAAAGTATCAATAATAATTTTATTATACTGATAATATTTAACATTCATTTCCTCTTGATTTCTGTCTATGATTCTCAGTTTCCTAAACTCAGGCATTTGGTTCAAATTTGAACCCGTTACGTTGTTGGGTTTTGGATTACGAGTGGACTTGATTCTTCAATACTGAGTTTAAATCATGCAGAGAAAGGAAATTTCCATTTAAATTGTTTTCTCCTTCCCATTTAAATTTATTTTGAAGAAGCCAACTGAAAAACATTCATAAATTGGAAAAATAACCATTGGGGCCTTATAAAAAAAAAACTGATACTCCATTCGTTTCATACCATGCGTGTGTTTATGTGTCCTCTATTGCATACAGATTATGAAATACAATAAATATGTGATATAAGAGGCAATCGCAGTAAATTCCAAAAACATCCAACTTTATGGCAGAAGAAAAAATAAAAAAAAGGCCCAAACTTTGTCACATAAGACGCAAACTTCAATTGATTTAAGAGAGAATCGCAGTAAAATCAAAACTTCCATGAGCGATAGTTACAAAAATACAAACGTCATAATGCAAATCAGAAGTTAGTAACAGTTGGTCAACCAAAAAAAGAAAAAAGAAGTTAACAACAGTTTAAGTCGTATGATTTGCAATTGAAACCTCTCATGTTTTACAATTGTCTAGATCGTTATTTGTTTAGATTAAAGTTTTGGATCTAATGTCATTGTTCCATAGTTAATCATTAATTCTTTCATATAAATTAACATTGATATAAAATGTAAAATTTATCAGTCCTGTATATTGTCAATTATAAGAATATATACATATTATTTCTCAAATTCTACAAGGTATCACGTATTAAACATGAGATTGTTAAAATAAATCACATGTCACTTTATAATATGAAATTTATAACAAATCATTACACATTAAGCTCTAACACTACCTATTCTTAATAGCTAATGAAAGAAATAGTACCGCAAGTTGCTATCATATTAAGCTTCAACATGCGATTGGTGCTGCCAGCGCACGCAGTGGCACGGTAGCCGCCTGTTGGTGGCTTTTATCAGAGTTCAATCCTGCCTGCAAGCTCTGCTTGCCTACTAAAAAAAACAATGCTCTTCGCATCTTATGTGCGTATTGGTGATATCACATCAGCCCGCCAAGTGTTCAGTCAAATGTCTCATCGAGGCAGTAATGCATGGAATGCTATTATCCTTGCATATTCTTGTAAAGTTCATTTTGCTTGAATAAATTAAAGTGTTATTCCTTAATTTTTCTTTGAGTTCAAAATGTACTACCTCCTGTTTGAATTTTATTTTAATTTTAAATATAAGATTTTAATTTATTTTTTCTCTTATATTTATTTCTTTTAAGATGGTTCTTATAATAATAATAGTTCTAACCAATATACTTGATTAGTAAGGATATTATAGGAAAGATAACACATATTTATTACAAATAACTAAATTAGCTAGTTTTTTTAATTAACTCAAATTAATCAACTAACTCTTATATTAATGACATCGGAGGTAGTAATAAATATGAATTCAATTTGTTAGAATAGAATTCTAATTTTGTCAAAATTCCTTAGTTCTGAAATATTTTCTTTTGTTTTTTGTAGAGATGGGAATTCTTGATAAGATATTGGATTATCCAACAAAGTGTTTATCTTTATGCTAAATTGAGCAAATGTGTGCATAAATAATATTTTGAAGGTCAAATCTTAGAAAAAACGATGAACTATAACATTTTGGAGGTAGGTAATAATGTCTTAGCATCGTATCAACGTTATATGGTAGACCTTTTGGGTAAAAGAGCAGCCAAAGTAATTTTTGTGGATGAAAAATACATTGTTTTGAAAGAAATACAACTGACTTTCAAGCAGTGGTACCAACAGATGTTCACAAACTATGATAAAGAATCACAAAATGATAAAGAATTCTCATGGTGAAACTATATTGAGCCACATTTGAAAACGTTGGTAAGGTAATATAGCGATTTATAATTTACTTACTACTCATCCGCTTTCTATATTTGTTGATTCTTTTGTGTTCCTTTTGTCGCGTCTATTGAAGGCGACTATAAAGTTGTACCTAACCATGTGCATGGAAATTAAAAAGATGGTGTGGCAGTCATAGATGGACAAGTAAAAATTTACAACATGAAAGATCCTTGTATGTATATATTTACTACCTCATTTTTTTAATTTCTCTCTGTTTCTTAGTTAATTTTTTTTATTTTTCTATAGGAAAAAAATATTCTCTAATTCTCTTCTGTTTCTCTTACTTTCTTCCCTTCTCTTGCCTATTTCTTTACTTCCCATGATAGTGGTATAAGAGCCACTTGATTCTTGGCACCGCACATGCATGGTCAAGAGTCTGGCTCTAATACCACTATTGTATGATTTGATAAAAAAAGATGGTACTAGGGAAAAAAAAAAAAACAAAGAGAAAAAGAGAACTAAACTGGAGAGAGTTTCAGATAAAAG